CATTTTGTCAGAACTCTCTGTCATGACCTGTCCGTCTTGGGTGGCCCTGCACAGCATAGCTGATGGCTTCATTGAGTTATGCAAGCCCCTTCACCATGACAAGGCAGTGATCCATGAAGGGGGTGATATACAGTATAACTATATACTGTAAATTAGGTCATGTTTGAGAAGTTTACTTCTGGTGGTTTAGTAATGGTGTCACAAAATATGTAAATGTAAAATAGGTAAATATTTTATTTACCCTTCTTTAATCTTTCATTTTTAATTGTGTTAATTTATTGAAACAGAATATTACTCTCACCACTATATACAATAGTTTCTTTATCCATGTTTGCATCTGTCTTATTTCACATACTTATTTAATATATATGCCTATCTAGGCATTTGTTTGTTTGTTTGTTTGTTTAGGTGTAAGTTCTTTTGGGGGTGGGGAACTTTAAACTATTTTTTTTCATGGTTTGTTGATTACAATGTTGGTTAATTTTTAAAAAGAAATGGTAGTTTTAACATTCTTATTTTCTTCACCATTAGGTTCCATCTTTAGAATTTTTATCTGACAAATTACAGTTCTACCAAAGACAATATAATGAAAATGTTCGAGGTGGAATCCTAGATCTGGTGTTTTTCAAAGATGCTATAACACATCTTGTTAAGGTTTGTGTCTTTATCTCTAAATGTAGTCTTAATTTCAAATTATTCATTTATTGAGATCATGCCAATGACAGCTTTTATCAATGATTTCAATGTAAGTAAAGGAAGTAGCAGGTAAAAGTTGATTATTTAGAATTCAAAAACCAATAGTCTTTTAAAGTAATGGTGGTGTGATAATGATGATAATGATAATGATGTTTTTAGCCTGACAGAAAAGTTGATACAGATTATCTTTCTGGTTTGCCATTATTGAGAAAACTCTTTTTTGTAGATGACAGGCTAATGAAAATGATTTTTGGATCATTAGTTATTAGCCAAAAGGAGGCATTTCTTTAAACATTAAGGATTAGGTAGAAAGTATAAGCTCCTTGGATTCAAATAAGAAATAAATGAGAAGACAGTGAAGTTCTTTTAAAAGTTATTTAAGTGTCCTTTTTGTAAGGCTCTCCTAGAAAAACTGTTTTGAAAGACTTTAAAAAGTTAATTAGCTAGCTAGAAGAATTAATTGGGTACTTAGTAGTAATTGGTATAATACTATTAAATATTATTTGGTCTATATTTTACAATCAGAAAAGATATGGAATTACCTATACAACTCAAAAGAACATTAAAGTGATTCTATAGAAGAGACTTCACTGTGGGTTTTTTTAATAGTACATATGCATTGAAATTGTATAATAAAAGTTATCTTTTTTTCTACAACACAGTTCCTAACATTCAGACATGCTTCTGCAAAGTCCCCTTGAGACTAAAAAAAAAATCCCCCCTCACCCCTATGGGTGGTTTGTGTCTGTCTCAATCTTGGGTCCTCTACCAGAGGCCTGGGAGTTTGAGGGTTCTGTGCAGTATCTTAGCTGTTCCTAGCACTGCACTCTCCTGGACAGAGAGCTCTGGTGA